CAGGAGGAACCCAAGGAGCAGCAGGAGGAACCCAAGGAGCATCAGAAGGACCTTAAGGGACACCAGAAGGACCCCAAGGGGAACCAGGAGGACCCCGAGGAGCATCAGCAGGACCCCAAAGGGCACCAGAAGGACCTCAAGAAGCACCAGGAGGACCCCAAGAGGCACCAGGGGGACCCCAAGGGGAACCAGGAGGACCCCGAGGAGCATCAGCAGGACCCCAAAGGGCACCAGAAGGACCCCAAGGGGAACCAGGAGGACCCCGAGGAGCATCAGCAGGACCCCAAAGGGCACCAGAAGGACCCCAAGGAGCACCAGGAGGCCATTGAAGGCCACCAGGAGGTCATTGAGGGCCACCAGAAGGCCATTGAGGGGCACCAGGAGGTCATTGAGGGCCACCAGGAGGACAGGAAGGGGCACCAGGACATTGAGGGGCACCAGGAGGACATTGAGGGGCACCAGGAGGCTGGGAAGGGCCACCAGGAGGCTGGGAAGGGGCACCAGGAGGTCATTGAGGGCCACCAGGAGGTCATTGAGGGCCACCAGGACATTGAGGGGCACCAGAAGGACCCCAAGGGCCACCAGGAGGCCGGGAAGGGCCACCAGGAGGTCATTGAGGGCCACCAGGACATTGAGGGGCACCAGGACCCCAAGGAGCACCAGGAGGTCAGAGGGTTACCAGGAGGTCACTGAGGGCCACCAGGACATTGAGGGGCACCAGAAGGACCCCAAGGGCCACCAGGAGGCCACTGAGGTCCCCCCAAGGCTCTCACCCATCTTGATCTTCTTGAGGGCGGCGTCGGGGTCGTCGCGCGGGCGCTTGCGGGCGTCGCGGGGGGCGGGCATGGAGCGGGAGATCTCGGCCTGCTGGGTGCCCAGGTCCACCAGCAGGGTGGTGATCTGGGGGGTGAAGTCCCCCGAGCAGGGGTGGCGCAGGACGCTGAGCAGGTGCAGCTTCAGGTTCTTCCGGACGCTGCTCACCTGGGACTTGGCCAAGGTCGGGGGGAGGGAGGACCCCAAGGAGCAGCAGGAGGACCTCAAGGGGCACCAGGAGGACCTCAAGAAGCACCAGGAGGACCCCAAGGAGCAGCAGGAGGACCTCAAGGGGCACCAGGAGGACCTCAAGAAGCACCAGGAGGACCCCAAGGAGCAGCAGGAGGACCTCAAGGGGCACCAGGAGGCCCTCAAGAAGCACCAGGAGGACCCCAAGGAGCAGCAGGAAGACCTCAAGGGGCACCAGGAGGACCTCAAGAAGCACCAGGAGGACCCCAAGGAGCAGCAGGAGGACCTCAAGGGGCACCAGGAGGACCTCAAGAGGCACCAGGAGGACCCCAAGGAGCAGCAGGACCTCAAGGGGCATTGGGAGGACTTTGAGGGCACCAGAAGGACTTTAAGGGGCACAAGGAGGACTTTGAGGGGCACCAGGAGGACCTCGAAGGGCACCAGGAGGACTTTGAGGGGCACCAGGAGGACTTCGAGGGGCACCAGGAGGACCTCAAGGGGCACCAGGACCCGAAGGGGCATCAGGACGACCTCAAAGGGAATGAGGAGGACCCCAAGGAGCATCAGGAGGACCCCAAGGAGCATCAGAAGGACCTCAAGGGACACCAGAAGGACCCCAAGGGGAACCAGGAGGACTTTGAGGGGCACCAGGAGGACCTCAAGGAGCATCAGGAGGAACCCAAGGAGCAGCAGGAGGACCTCAAGGGGCACCAGGAGGACCTCAAGAAGCACCAGGAGGACCCCAAGGAGCAGCAGGAGGACCTCAAGGGGCACCAGGAGGACCTCAAGAAGCACCAGGAGGACCCCAAGGAGCAGCAGGAGGACCTCAAGGGGCATTGGGAGGACTTTGAGGGCACCAGGACTTTAAGGGGCACCAGGAGGACTTTGAGGGGCACCAGAAGGACCCCAAGGAGCAGCAGGACCCGAAGGGGCATCAGGAGGACCCCAAGGAGCATCAGAAGGACCCCAAGGGAAACCAGGAGGACCCCAAGGAGCACCAGGAGGACCTCAAGAGGCACCAGGAGGACCCCAAGGAGCAGCAGGACCTCAAGGCGCATTGGGAGGACTTACTTTAAGGGGCACAAGGAGGACTTTGAGGGGCACCAGGAGGACCTCGAAGGGCACCAGGAGGACTTTGAGGGGCACCAGGAGGACTTCGAGGGGCACCAGGAGGACCTCAAGGGGCACCAGGACCCGAAGGGGCATCAGGACGACCTCAAAGGGAATGAGGAGGACCCCAAGGAGCATCAGGAGGACCCCAAGGAGCATCAGAAGGACCTCAAGGGACACCAGAAGGACCCCAAGGGGAACCAGGAGGACTTTGAGGGGCACCAGGAGGACCTCAAGGAGCATCAGGAGGAACCCAAGGAGCAGCAGGAGGACCTCAAGGGGCATCAGGAGGACTTTGAGGGGCACAAGGAGGACTTTGAGGGGCACCAGGACCCCAAGGGACAGCAGGAGGACCTGGAGGAGAACCAGGAGGACCCCAAGGGGAACCAGGAGGACCTGGAGGGACACCAGGAGGACACGAAGGGGCACCAGGAGGACACGAAGGGGCACCAGGAGGTGTCCCATGCCCCACCACAGAGATGTTCCACGTCCTACCACAGGGAAGTTCCACCTCCCAATCCCAGTGAGGTCCCATGGTGTCCTACCATGGAGATGTCCCATGTCCCACCCCAGGGATGTCCCCTGTCCTACCACAAAGACATCCCATGGTGTCAGACCATGGAGAGGTCCCACATCCCACCCCAGGGGTGTCCCACCTCCCAATCCCAGTGAGGTCCCATGGTGTCCTACCATGGAGATGTCCCATGTCCCACCCCAGGGATGTCCCATGTCCCACCACAAAGACATCCCATGGTGTCCCACCATGAAGACATCCCATGTCCCACCCCAGGGACGTCCCACCTCCCAATCCCAGTGAGGTTCCATGGTGTCCCACCATGGAGAGGTCCCTTGTCCCACCCCAGGGATGTCCCCTGTCCCACCCCAGGCATGTCCCACCTTCCACCACAAGGACATCTCATGGTGTCCCACCATGGAGAGGTCCCACAT